AACTGAAACCTAAGAAAAGATCTATTCTCTACACCAGTATTGTTAATTTTTATTTCCAGTAGAAATTCTAAGCCTTCAGTGGAAATTTGTAATAGTAAAAGTTCCAGTAGTACTATTAATTTTCTTCCAGTAAAGTTCCAGTTGTCTTTCAATAGCTTCCAGTTAACAACACTACTCTATACTATAGCATCACCCAGTTTTAATTTATATTTTGGCGAAACTGAAGCCTATAAAAAAGAGAGAATAGTTATTTCAAACATGAAAAAAAAAGAGATGACGAAACTGAAGCCTATAGAAAAGAGAGAATAGTTATTTCAAGTATAAAAAAAAAAGATCTAATGAAATTAAAACTTATAAGACTAGCAATCAATATAATCTAGTACTACCCAGTGCTAATTCATGTTCTGGCAAAACTGAAACCTAAGAAAAGATCTATTCTCTATACCAGTGTTGTTAATTTTTATTTCCAGTAGAAATTCTCAGCCTTCTAGTGAAAATTTGTAATAGTAAAAGTTCCAGTAGTACTATTAATTTTCTTCTAGTGGAGTTCTAGTTGTCTTCTAGTAGCTTTCAGTTAACAACACTACTTTACACTATAGTACCACCCGGTTTTAATTCATGTTCTGGTGAAACTGAAGCCTATAGAAAAGAGAGAATAGTTATTTTAAACGTGAAAAAAAAAAGAGATGACGAAACTGAAGCCTATAGAAAAAAGAAAATAGTTATTCAAGCGTGAAAAAAAAAGAGACAATGAAATTAAAACTTATAAAACTAGCAATCAATGTGATCTCCACACTACAGTACTACCCAGTGCTAATTCATGTTCTGGCAAAACTGAAGCCTAAGAAAAGATAAAAGTTATTTAAAGTATGGAAAAAAAAAAAGAACTAACAAAATTATTTAATCCCAACCTTCTCTACACTATAGTTAATTCATGTTCTGGCAAAACTGAAGCCTATAGAAAAGAGAATAGTTATTTCAAACGTGAAAAAAAAGAGATGACGAAATTAAAACTTATACTTTCAGAATTCAATGTCTAATCTCTACACTACAGCAATACCTGGTGTTAATTCATGTTCTGGCAAAACTGAAACCTACGAAAAAGAAAGAGTTAGTCAAATTAGAAAAAGAAATAGTTAGTTGAATTATAAAAAAAAAAAAAAAAAATTAATAAAATAGAATTGGTACACCCTATATGATCTTAATATCCCAGGTAATTTGTGACAAAAAGAACAATAAGTTAGTTCAAAACAAACAAAAAAAAACTCAATAAAACAATAGTAAAGTTGTTACTTATCTTCATTATTTGGTACTACTTTTTGAAAAAAAATGTTAAACAAATGTCGTTTGCCTAAACACGAAGCAAACTAGATGCAAACAAATCTAGATTTCATGATTTAAATCTATTCTAGATCATTTAAGAGAATGAAATGACTACCTAATCTGATACTGGTGACTGATCACCACTGGCAACAAATATTTATTACTATAAAAATTTTAACCAATCAAAAAAAAGGTGCGACATGTTGCTAGTGCAACAAATTTATATTCTCTTTTTATATATCAATATTTATTAGAATAGTTATAGAGACTTTATTGGCTAGTTAACTGAGACACAGTAATACTACATGAGTATCTCTTAGTACCTTTATACAAGTACTTGTTAATACCTTTATACAAGTACCTGTTAGTATCTTCACACAAGTACCTGTTAGTATCTTCATACAAGTACCTGTCAGTACCTTCACACAAGTACCTGTTAGTATCTTCACATGAGTATCTCTCAGTACCTTTACACAAGTACTTTTCAGTACTATCTACATAGTACCTTTTAGTACTTCTGCACAAGTACTTCTTAGTATCTTTATATAGTTTAGCAATTATACAATTATACCTCTTATATGTGGAAAAGTTATAAAAAAGAAGCCTTTGCCCCTTTTGCTCAAGTCAGAGTTTCTTATCCTCTCATAGACTCTAGCTTTACCTAACTACCCTTATTACTCTTCTTATATTTGTATAGTGTAATATTCTCTCTTTAGGTTATTTCTATTGTAAAGGATATTACTGTAAACTTGTTATTAATAAATATTATCATCTCTATAAACTGTTATTATCTTGAATCATTTGCCTCCTGCTGTAAAGTAAAAGTATACACTTTATGTCCACCCTGTATATATTCATAAAGTATATCATTACACCGGGTGATTTTGTTACTTTGCTATAACATAATCAAAAAGGATAGCATTATAACAATATAAACAATATAGAGATTTTATATAGCTGTTGATGCATTTTTTAAAGATATCTCAGCACTTACTGGGCTAATTTGGATGGTTTAAGGGTAGGTGGTACAATTTTTAAATTATATATAAAACTATTGTAAATTTTTTTCAATTATAAATTAAAAAATATTTTATTAAGTAAACTAGTTTTAAAAATTAATTAAAAATTGTAGAATAGATTCTTGTAATTCTAATGATAGTAAAACTATTTAAATTGGTTAAATATTCGCTGAGAAACAAGTGTTTAAAGATAGAGTATTATAAATTGTTTACAAAAATCATATGATAATCATATGACATCAACCAATCAAAATTGATCATCTTGAGAAAAACTTTACGATATATAGAAGTATAAATTTTTTAAATATTTTATTTATTAAAATTTTACTATCCTTTCAACTGTTTTCCAGACAAATTTGCCTGGAATTTTGAAAAGTATTTACAATTTTTTAAATAAAATTAAAAAATATTAATGATATAGGGTATATTTTATATATACAATAGTATTTTTAAAACATATACTATATACTTTATTATGAAAATTTTTTAAATTTATTATAAATCTTTAGAGTAATAAAAATTTAAAGCTCTTGCTTTAAAAATTTTTACTATAAAATTTTTCTTTAAAATTTCTAAATTTTTATATGTTTTTGTCTTTAAAAAAAATTTTGCTTCTAATACAAGTTTTAATTTTTATTAGTAAATTACTAAAAGCGTAATAATAAAAGTTATTATCTTTTATATAAACTATAATATTGTATTAAGAATGTCCTGGGTTACTGGTAAGGTGTGTAGCATGGAGGTCATTGGCATACTCAAAACTTAAACAGCCTATAGACATGCCATTTATTATATTTTAATATAAAAAATTAAAATTTAAAGAAAAATTGAATCTAAGTTTTGAGATATTCTGAAAGATATAAATTGTATATATAACTAACCAATCAAAATTAGATATGATTTGGTGGCATGCCACCTGGCATGGGCTTTGGCAAATAGTATACCATCTGGCATGCAAGATTTTTTAGTTATGCTACACACTTTAGTTACTAGCTTGTAACAATAATTAAATAAGATATTTAACTCCTATTCTAAGGATCTAAACTTCTATAACACTATACCAATAGGGAGTATATAAAAGAAGTAGTAGTCTAATTTGGTAGTATACAATGCAAATACCTGGATTGACATAAAATAATTCTCCTAATAGTAGCAGTGAGTAGCTTGAGATACGGGTTTTATAACAGTAGTAGCACCTGGCTTGAAATACAGATTAGAACTTAAAGTAACTTTTCTAGAAACACCAAACTGGAAGCAAGAAGAGTGCCTACTCAAAAAACACTAATTTGGAAATAATACAAAAAATGAATTAGAAGTAATATAATAAGTGATAAGGGGTAGAAGTTGGTTAGTAGATGTTGTATAGTAGTATATAAGCAGAATATATATGACACAATAGGTTTGGAAACTATTCAATGATTTAGTAACTGGTCTAATTGCAGAGCAGTTATTAAGAAGATAAAAATCTTATATAGCAGGTTACATATAGGACTTAAATTAGTAATCAGATAAGCTAATATATATAATATATATTAGATAGTTGTAAATGTACTTGTGATATTTTGTAATAAAAAAATACTCTAGCATAAATTTAATAAACAGTATTGGCAAGGCTACCAAATTAAAAAAAATATTGTATTAAAAACTATAGATTTAAAATTAATAATTAATATTTAAAGAGTTTGTCAAAAATTTGTAAATAATTTTTTGGGTTAAAAATTTTTTCTAAATTTGTTTATTTTTAGCTTATGAAAGTATCCATTTAAACTCTCTGATTATATTTTTAATTCCACTATATAAGACTTTTAACTTCTCTAACTATTTTTATAGTCATTTAAATTCATATTTGCATTAGAACAGAACTAATAGGCTTTATTTATTCTTGAAGTAAATTTACTAGAGTGGCCTGCCTACTTGGGGTTAGAGTATCTGGTAAGCCTAAAAAATTTTGGCATACTATAAGGCATGCTATCTATCAGAATTCATACCAAAATGCTACCTGGCATGCCATTGGCACATGTACATAGTATACTTTATAAATATTATACGAAATTTTAGCGATTTATAAAAATTTTATTGAAATATTCGAATAAACTCTAATTAAGCAAATACCTTTGTAATAGATCAATATACTATTGATTTTTGCTTTTTGCTTTATTTTTTTTTTTTACAACATAATTTATAATCCAATACCAAGTTTAAAGTCGTTAAATCTTATGCAGTATAATTAGCTTTTAATATATAAGCTTATATAGAATAACATAGTTTTTCTAAGTATTTATTGATAAGTATTCCAAAATTTTTATAGAGAACAGGTATTTCTACACCTTATTTTGATATTTCTACACCTTGATTACAAGTATAATACATAAAGTGTATTATAGTTGCAGCAAAAATGAAGTGGCATATTATATTACTTAATTTTTAAGCTGGAATATTTGAATCACACATCGTAATCTTTACATGTAATTTCATAGCAATAATTTATAATTTAATATGGTATGGAAATACCTGTTCTCTTTTTATATTTAAATGATGTATTTATAAATGACATTTTTAAAAATTTTTTCTAATATATATTTATTTAAGCAACAAATACATTTTGAAAAAAAATTTTCTAACATTTATTTAAATGATAGATATTAAATTTTGTAAAATTTAGGTTTTGAAGATGTCATCAATTGACCAATCCTCATTAATATAAGTAAAACTTTGGTGGTGAATAGGTGAGCTTTCTTCACTTATTTCTTGTTTTTGTTTATAAGCTTTAAAATCAAAGAATTTTTCCATCACCAAGTTGTCATCATTCATTTCAGTATCAATCATTTCAATTTCAAGTTGCAACTCTTCTATATCAAAAAGTTCTTCCTCAAAAAAAAGATTAATGTTAGTATCTATAGTATTTATATTATCCATTAGTAAAACTTGATTGTTTACTTTAGTCTTTTTTTTTAATGATTTGGGCAGCCTTTGGTAAAGATTATAGTAGAGCATTTCAAGCATCCCCATTGAAGTAGAAGATATTTTATTTTGTAACTTTGTTTTCGTCAATTCCAAGCTGGAAAAAAGGAATTCTACTGCTGCAGCATATAGAGCAATTGAGAAGATCTTTACTGCAAAATGTCGTAGATATGGTGTATTTTCTATTATTATAAGAAATGAGCAAGATATGTTGGTTATTTTTTATTTTTTTTATTTTTTTTTGATTTTTGCTAACAAATATTTGGAAACATAATATAAAAAAAAAACATTATATTACTAGTAAATTGTGACCAGAAAGTTTTAGAGTTAATATTTTTGATATTTCTAAAGTTATCTTTTTTTTTTTTTTTTTTTAAACAGTACCTGCTTTATTATCTTTAGTAGTTAAGTGTCTTTTTTTATCGAGATATACAAGGTTTTATCAGTACCAAAACTTCTAGCAACTATACCCCCCACTGACTCTGTAACAAAGCTCACTTGGCTACTCTAAGGTGCCCAAGTGTAACTGTTTAGCCACAGATTTACCTCCCCTTTGGCCCCTAACTTACTAGAGGGTTTTCCTCCGGATCAACAGTAGGCCATGCTCACCTATTTAGTTCATATACATCCTGCTATATATACTACTATACAATATCCACTAGTTATAATCTACCCCTCATCACTTATCACATTACTCCTAATTTGTATCTTGTATAATTTCCAAATTGGTGTTCTAGAAGTGGGTACTCTTCTTGCTTCTAGTTTGGTATTCCTCAAGTATATTACTTCAGAGCCTAATCTATATCTCAAGCCAAGTGCTGCTGCTGCCGTCTGAAGACCCGTATTTCAAGCTATCTGCTGCCGCTATTAGAAGAGCTATTCACATGGATCCAGATATTAACATCATACACTACTTAATTAGGCTACTATCCCTTTTTAAGTACTTCCTATCAGTATGGTGATACAGAAGTCTAGATCCTTAGAACGGGAGTTAAGAACCTTATTTAATTACTGCTACAAAGCAGTAACCCAGAACCCGTGCTTCTGCTGTGTTTCGTCATAGACTCCTATATAGATTGTGCAACTATACTTACTAGCCGTCTTTATGTTCGTACTACCAAGATGCTTGCTTCCATACTTTTCGGGGTTGCTTTTAACCAGTTTTCTTTGTTTCTTCATAGTGCCAAAGGTGTTCTATATTTGGTAAAGCCATTCTCTTACCACAGCCCCTTACTATATTCACTGCTTCTCTTACCACTTCTGGATATACTGCATATAGTCATCCTTCCTATATATGCTACCGAAATTAATTTTTCAAAAAAGCCTATTTCAGGTTTTCAAAAATAAATTAAAATTTTTTATAAGGAAGGGCAAATAAAATTTATATATTTATGTTCCTTATATTTTGGTTTATTCAAAAAAAGTATCAAAAAATTTCAGATTTCAAGTAAAATAGGTCAAAAACAATTTTGGAAAAAATTTTTAATTTCAGGTCCCAAAACCCAAAATAATTTCATCGATATGTATAGTCCTTCCAATAAAGATCCCAATGCCGCCTTAGGGCTGTTGGTGCTACTTTGCCAATTGTGGATTCACACGCACAGCCTTCTACAGTAATACCTTCTGTGACCCATATCACACATAGTGCCTGATCTTCTCCATAGCTCGGGACTCCTTCCAAGAATTCTTTATCAGCCAAATATATACTTCACATGGTCTTACCACCACAGGGTTTCGCATTTAAAAGCCCCCAAGGTTATAGAGATAATTAATTAAATTAATTACTACTAGCTGTAATTGAACTATCAACCTTGTCTGTAGAGGGTTAGGCGCCTAAACCACTAGGCTATGGGACCCTAACTCTATTTCTAAAGTTATCAAAAAGTACATCTTCATTTTTATAGCTAATAATCTCTTTAAACAAAAGAGTCGTTTTTCTTTTATCAAAGCCCCAGGATTTTGCCAATTTTAAAGAAGCTCTAACAATTGAATCACTAAACATTTTCCTTGAAATTGCAATTTGTTTATGGTTTGGTAACAAAAAAAGAACGACAAAATAAATATTATCTGAAAATTCACAAACCTGTTTGTTAACAACTACCAAGGTATGTTTTTTAAATCTATCTATTAGAATATCTGATATAAAAATAATATGATGAATACTTATTAATTCTTTAAATATATTAGCTAATGTAGTATCCCTCAATTCAAAACAACCAATAGCATCAACAACAGGAATGAGTACTGTAACTAGCATATCATTATTAGCAAAATGATAATGGCTAGTAATTATATTTTTAATTTCTGATTAAATTGTAGAGTAATTGCTAGTTTTACTAAGATTAACACAATAAAGAAATCCTTTCTCAAAATCTCTTATATCTAAACAAATCTTCACCAAAGAATACCAACACATTTTACAGAACATTGTAAGCAAATAATACAATTCTTCTTTCTTTTTCTAGTCTTGTAATATTCGAAACCAAATATAGGAAAATGTAAAAAATTTACAATTTTTTGATTATTTTTAATTGTTGTAATTAAAGGCTAAAAAGAAGAGATATCTTTTGTAATTAGGTTAAATGTGTGAAGACAACAACAGACAGAAATAATATTTAGATAATCTTAAAAAAGACTAGCTTTCATCTTGACCATAACTGAAAGGTTATCAGTTACATATATAATAACTGAATTAATAGAGATTGAATTTGACTATAAAATATTTTCAAGCTGCTCTTTGAAAAATATAGCAGTATGCCAGTTTGCTGATAGATCAGTAATATCTAAAATGCATTCTTGGTTTTTCAAAGCTATAAAACTATAAATAGAATTTCAAGATACATCTTGCTATCCATCTAAAGCGATAGTAATATCAGTTAAAGATGCCATCAATTCAAGTTTTTTGGCCAAGTAAGTTGAGAAGAACTATTAAGAACTTTAGTTTTTAGTATTTCATTGAAGGGTGAATCATAATTAGAGGCTAATTCATTAAGAAAATTAAGAAAATAAGTGTTTTTAACAACTCTAAAAGAAAGATTGCTATAAATTATAGTATCAAGTAACTTTTTATCTAATTTTTCTTGTTTATCCTGCGATATCAGTTTTATATACCAATTAATTAGACTTTTTGACACTTTAATATGGAAAAAATGAGTTATCAAAAGTATTGGTTATACTATAATGATTCTGTTAGTTAAGTTAAAATATTTATATATTATTAAATTTTTTATATTTTTTACAATTATATATGTTTCTTTATCAGATGTAGAGCTAACTTTAACTTTTTTTTGAGTACTAAGAACAGAACTATTGACATTTTTAATATTGGTAGCCTTTTCAGTAATAGACCATTTACTACATTTAAGAACGTAATTATAGAGCTTTTCTGGTCTGCCAAGTAATTCATATTGACAATAGGTACACTTAGCAATATACCTATTGCCACTAATTTTTTTTAAGAAGCACCAAAACCCAGTCTAGCAATTATTATGAATTTTCATATCAGGGTTAATAAAACCAGATGGAGGTTGGGTTTGCATAATGTAAGTAACTTTTGTTTACTATCTAAGTGGAATTAAAACTTAAAAGAATGCTAACAACGAAAAAAAAAATTTAAAAAAATTTTATTGTGATGAATTTTGATTAAGACAATAAAACTTTTTTTATGCTATTGTTGACTTGATCTTTGTAATAGTTTATTACTTTAATTCTTCTTTTTATAATTTTTAAAAAATAGAAATCTAGTCTGATAATCTTAAGTGCTTATTAATTTTTATTCTCAGAAGAATTGGACTATGCATCAGAAAATATTTTATTCAATTTTTTTTTCATTTAATTTTTTTGATTCTTTTAATTTTCTATTTTCTATTTCTCTTTCTCATGAATCAGAAGCTATTTCAAAGTTCAACATATATTTTCATGCGCAATTTAATACAATTTCATCAAAGATACACCTATTTTAGTTTTATTATACCTCTTTTTTTTTACCTTTATTCATAACTATGATTCAATTTGTCTTTTTTTAGGTTAGTATATTTGGATAATTTGATGATCATATTATTTGGGCTGTGTAAATCATATGAAATTATTATTAAAGCATTCGAGGAGTTTATTTATTATCAATTTAAAAAAATTTTAAATATAAGCAACAGATTATATTACAAGGTACTTTCAAATATGTTAGGGTAATTCCATATATGGGTGGAGTCAATAGAAAAGGGACAAATCATTTTTAGTAAAATTTTTTTAATTTTTAAATTAAAATATCTCAACAACTAATTAACCAAATTTGCTCAAAATTTTTTTATTTTAATTTTAAAATTATAAAAAATTAAGATAAAAAAATAATTACTAAATTTGATAAGATAATTGCTGAGATATTTAAGCTTAAAGTCAAGAAAACTTTTATTTAGAAAAAATTTGTCCCTTTTCTATTGACTCCACCCCATATGTTGACTTTATAACCAGAAACATGTATATATATATTAGCATTAGAAAGATTAATTATATTATCATGTATTATTATAAATGCTATATAATTTTGAAATCTAATATTATGCAGGCTATAGAATAAATAGAAAAGTGATACATATTTATGTATATACATAAATACAATACTGGAAATATTAGTGCTAAGCTACATTAAAAATAATATCTTGTTTTTGTTAAAAATACTGATATTGTATCTTTAAAGTGGTAATATTTAAGCCACAAATTTTCAATATATTAAATTATTAGGTGGCATATACTTGTGACTACTTTGCCAGGTACCCTACTTGGGGTATATATCTAGATTCTTCAGTAACTTATACCATGGCTTAATCTATGTACTTGGGATCAGGGCTATTCTACTATTACTTACTACTACTTTTTTAAAATTTACAAACCCCTATACCACATTTTATTACTTTCTATACCTTTACTCATTTTGGTATTATTAGAACCCCGAACATCTCTAATATAGATCATAATTGATCTGCATAAATTTAATTAATAATTCTCTAATTAACTGAAGAATAAATATAGTATAATATAACTCAGTTTATTAT